CTCTGCTGGACGAGCCCTTCATTTACCGCCAGTGACAGACACGCAGCTCTCCTGCCTCTGCTGGACGAGCCCTTCATTTACCGCCAGTGACAGACACGCAGCTCTCCTGCCTCTGCTGGACGAGCCCTTCATTTACCGCCAGTGACAGACACGCAGCTCTCCTGCCTCTGCTGGACGAGCCCCTCATTTACCGCCAGTGACAGCCTGACTCGGTATATCAGCCTCTGCTGGACGAGCCCCTCATTTATCGCCAGTGACAGACACGCAGCTCTCCTGCCTCTGCTGGCTAGATAGTTTGACATAGCTTGCTGATGTGTTGCAAACATATTGAATGTATTTTTTTATTAAACTAATTCTAAAACTATTATAAAGCTGTGGTCTCTAATTAAAAAGTAGAAATAGAAAAGTAACTATAATAACTAAAATTTTACTTGCAATAATTCTATCATACAAATTTCAGATTGTCTATTTCAGTGTTTCCCAACCCGGTCCCCGGTGATCCTCAGACGGTCCATGTTTTGCTCCCTCCCTTGAGGACTGGATTGTGAAACACTGGTCTAATTGATTGTTTAAGTCTCAGGGCTATATTATATTAGCCAGAGGTGGGTAGTTCAGAGAGTCACAACTGGTTAGTTGAAACAAAATCATGGTCTGAACTTTTTCTCCTTGGTCCTGACCTACCCACCTCTGACATTATCAGATACTGACTCACATTTGTACTTTTCTTGAACGTCCACATTGCAGAGGCAGACCAGTCCCGTTTTGAAGGACAGGACACGCACCTTCCCATTCCGACCACTAGAGGGAGAGGACAGAAAGTTAGAGGGGGCAACAAAAAACATGACAAAGTTAAGGCCAGCTTCAGTATTTTGCTTAAAAAGGTTGCTGTACAGCATAACTAGATTATATTATGATTGTTATTTTGTATGTGTTTCAACTACATGCAATTTACAACTAAAATAAAACAATGTTACACAGGGACGTGGATGGGGGGTGTGGCAGCTTAATAATTTAAATGCAAAAGTCTTTTTTACGGGGCAGATAAATGAACTCAAATTAAATGACCCCCTGATTCCTACCCCCCTGGTTCAGGCATCTGAAGTGATAGCACTCCACCGTCAGCCATTGTGGTCTTTTCAGACCCCATTGTGTCTCTAATCATAACTGTTGGCTCACAACCAATTCAGGCACTCAAACGTTACAGATGGTGCCCCTTTGGCCTTCGCAAATCCTGCTGCAGGTCAGGCAGTGAACCACAGCATCAAAACACAGGGACATAAGCCAAAAGCTGGGAAATACAGTCTGCATTTGGCAAACAGATTCACAGTGGACAATGGAAAGCCTGCTCTGCTCGACCTCTATGCTTTTCTGCAAGAGGAAAGAGGCAGAAGAACCACAAACACGGCCTGGCTCAGCTAAGCCGGCCACTGGCTGCCCTGTGCAGTGTCACAAAAATAGCACCTCACCCTCCTCAGCCTCAAGGAAACATGCAAATTTCCGTAATGTAGGAAAGATGCTTCCAGTTTAACACTGCTTAAGAATCACTTTTCTCCTTTAAATGGTACATCATGCTGTGAGATTTTACCTACTGCACACCGCCGATTTATATTCAGAGCAAACATCACAAACGCAGTGCAATAACTAAAAAGGACAAATAAACCGCAATAAAGCAGTAATAACTGCACAAACACAATGAGGGAAATCTTGAAAAAAGAAGACAGTTATATTTACTGTAGATGAGTACTCATGCATATATGTATGTGTTTCTTAGGGAATTCATTACAACAGGCGGTTATGGACGGGCATGGTGAAGGACGGATGGTCCACATTGTACCTGACAAAATAAGACTTTATTAAACTTAAAGAAGAACACAACAAACCAAAAGGACCATGAGGGGTAATAAACAAGGCAGGCACATATATACACAGAGGAGGGGAAGACAAGGCACAGGTGTGGGCCAGTACAATTACTAGGAACAAGCACAGGTGAGGGATAAAGAACAGATAAAGAATTAAACACTAGGGGAGTCTAGATAACATGGGCGACTGAACAATACAACAGCCTGGGAACAGGGGGCAAAAACAAGGAACTGTAACCAAAACAGGCATCTACATAATTAACTAAGAAAACACAAAATAACATAAATGATGATTGTTAACTAGTATTATATATAATATTAACTTGAATCCACAACAGAAGGGAAGCCTGGATGACATAGACATAGTCTCAGCCCATTAAGCCATGCGGGTAACAGGAAGAACACAAGGAGCTAACAAACGGGACGGCCAGTGACACCTGCTGGCCAAACGGAGAACTGACATAGAGAAGGGGGAAGTACAGGGACCGATCCTGAAAACATCCTTCAACTGTTTCCAAAAACAGTCAAAGTCAGGTAGTATTGCTGGGCTGATGTGGTTTTGAGCTCGCTTGCCTCTGGGATGTGAGGTGGGGTATGTGCTTCTACCCTGTACCAAAAACACAAACCGCTGGCAGATTCCCTTAATGGGGCCGGACATGGCTGGGCGCAGCATGTTGCACCTGTCATACACGTTGAGCAGCCAGTTCAGGCACATGTCCACGCACAGTGGGACATTGATGGCCACCCCGCGCTCCTCCTCCAGCCGCTCGAACAGGCCGCTCAGCGCGTGGATCACCTCCATCACGTCCATCAGGTGATCTCCATGCTGTATCTCCTGCTCCCGGAAGACATCTACCACATTGGTCAGGGTCACCATGTCCACTGTGGGATTGGCAGAGACCAAAGGCCAGTCATCCTCTGTAATCCTTTTCAGGTCCTATGATATTCAGTCCAATTTAGGTATATTTTGCTGTGCATGCAGAATTTGTGTTTGCTGTGAGAACTGCCTTCGCTCACTTCTTTTAAGGACCCTACTTTAGCCATTAATGACGACTGCTAGCACCCGCAACAAAGAAATGAATGCCCCTGACATCGGCGATGGACCTGCAAAGTCGAGGGCCGTGCAGCAGCGACCCACAGCGCATGCTTCTCTTCCCATGAGCAGTGCTCATGGCTGCCTATTTGCAGGGGGATAACAACATGCCCTGGAGGTTTGCGCTGTGTCACACAGACCAGTGATGGGTCATTGGCCAGACCCGGAGCACATGCTCCTGTAGCACTCACAGCAGGCCAGACCCAACTATGGCACTAAGCCAAAAACAGGCAACTCTCAACTGCTCCTGGTTATTGTTGCATGGAAATTCTCAAGCTTCACAATGGTGGCTACGTCTTTAAGGCACCAGGCTTTGGGGAGTGTGAAGCTTCACAATGGTGGCTACGTCTTTAAGGCACCAGGCATTGGAGAGTGTGAAGCTTCTCATTGGTGGCTACGTCTTTAAGGCGCCAGGCCTTGGGGAGTGTAAAGCTTCACAATGGTGGCTACGTCTTTAAGGCACCAGGCCTTGGGGAGTGTGAAGCTTCACAATGGTGGCTACGTCTTTAAGGCACCAGGCCTTGGGGAGTGTGNAATGGTGGCTACGTCTTTAAGGCACCAGGCCTTGGGGAGTGTGAAGCTTCACAATGGTGGCTACGTCTTTAAGGCACCAGGCCTTGGGGAGTGTGCAGAGGGTCCCACACTCACATCGCAGGGCCTTTTGCACTCTTCTCAGCTTCATGGCCGTCCGGTATGCAGAGAATTTGATATTGTTGAGATCGGCTGAGCTCAGGTGAGGGAGAAGTAACACAATTAATTAAATATTCATATTTTATCTGCATGTCCGTACACCATAGGTGACTAAATTTGTGTCACCATGGGATTTAAAATGTTTTATCTGGCTCTTGCTGAGAGAGTATTTATCTTCCATACTCCAAAATGATTAATAAAGAAACCTAGTGTGGTTTAATAACAATTAATTACATTCACAGTAATTATACATCTGGGTTCCATGAGGCTTGCGGGACTTCTACTTAATACACAAAAATGTTCTGTGGGCAGAAAGGGAATGATCTGCTTGTAGAGGAAGTGGGTACAATCAACTAGAGGAGGCAGGACCAAGACATCTGATTGGTTGGTTCCTCCTCCTCTAGTTGCTTGGACTCACCTCTTCTACAATTGGATTAGTTCAGAGGGATAACCAATCATTTTTTGTTCTGCCTTCAGAACATTTTTGAGTAAGTAAAACTCCCATGAGTTTCCATGAGTATCTTAATTAGGGCAGAAAGGAGAAATAACTGAGACCTGGGCTATAGGCTGCAGTCACACTGGAGATAACTGTCTTACCCAGGGCCTGGTACAGCTCTGTCAGCTTTGGATGGTCCCAGCAGGTTGTCTGAGCCTGATGGCTAGTGGAGGAACAGAAGGAAAAGGTGAGAAACTGAAACCAGGGGAGGTAAAGGGGGTAAAAGGAGAGTGAGATTATATCCTGCACTGTTATGTGACTGCCAGCATAAGAATTCTGACGTCAACTAAACACACGAGGGAGACTGTCGAGCAGACAACCAAGATCGTCATCACACACTGACGCTGATTGCCTGTTACATCTTTGCTACCTTTAGTCATTCTATAACGAGTTTAAACATAATGGCACAGGGAAATTAATGAGACGATCACAAGGACGTACTGACTGTGGAAGACTTTACAGTATGCTAGCAAAAGCACACATTCATTTATTCTGTAAGCTGAAACAGAACTTGTGACAAATGACAAGCAAGTGGAATATTGGTGGAGAAAACAGCCAAACAGAGAGAAAATGTTTATCCAAGAATCCTGAGTCCTGAGAATGACTGTGGTATAACGAATAGGAAAGTTGTTTGCCCACATTTACAGGATTGGCCTTATTGCAGTAGAAAGATCACCTTCCTAATTATGCCAGTGAATGCAGAAAATTTGTAAAACCACTGCATTTGGCAATGCAAATTTTCATGTAAGGAAGCTTGATTATTGCTGGCCTTTAACATTTTTACTGCTTAAAAGGTTTAATTTGTTCTTTATAGCAGTAATCCTTACTTGATGTAGTATGGAACCTTGTTTGGAGATATGGCGCGCTCCCAGGGAACCTGAACGGAACCTGAAGGTGTGTGGATATGATAATAAAATATGATGATTAAAATATTATACATAGGACAAGAAAATCATGGACAGGCTAGAAGTGATAGCAAGGCTTGGAGGATTGGAGGGTTTTAGTTGGAGTCAGATTTCTGCGAGTATGAAGACAAGGGATAATATAAGGAATCCAGAAGTAGACTAGAGTGTCAAAAAAACATTCGGGAAGGAATTTACAGGATGAGCTGCAAGGTGACATCACAGAGGAAGGTGACATAATCCATGGTAACCCAGGGCTTCTGCTCTCTCAGTGCTGGTACTATAGCTTCCTTACACCCAGACTTGTGCTGCTGACTCAGACCAAACCATCACAGAACGAAATCCCCTGCAGTAAAGAGCTGTATTCGCAAGGTGACACATGGCAGGAGACTGGAAACATTGGTACATAAGCTTACTGGACAGGAAGTGCTGGGATCCGGGTCCAAACTCTCTGTGGGCATCGTGTAGCTGCTTTAGTCTCTCCTCAATGGAGCACTGCAAGACACAAGGGCGCAAGTAGTGGCCAAAGAAAGGATGATACTGCAGTTCTGTCCCTCTGTTTCAGGCTCTAGACTGAGGCCCAATCCCAATTCTACCCCTTACCCCTACACTTACCCCTACCCCTCCGTTTGGCGCGTTCACGTGTAGGGGTAGGGGTGTCTCAATTCTCTTTTGATTGGAGGGGTAGGGGTAAGGGGAAGGGCTAGATAGCCCTCGAAACGAAGATTTTTCGGGACCTCACTTCAAACGAAGGGCTAAGAGAAATTTACAACCTGGCTGCCCACTCGAGCAAGCAGACCCATAAATGTTAAGTA